ATGAGGTCTCACCTGCCCAGGTGGGTCTCGAACCCGCAGGCTCAGGCAATCCACTCACCTTAGCCTCCCAAAGGCGTGGGATTACAGGCTAAGCCACCTAGCCTGGCTTGCCAATCCCTTTCTTATAGTAGTATTATGGTAAATGTTTAGGGTCTGCTTATGAGTGAGAACATATGGTACTCAGTTCTTTGTTTCTATGGTAAATCACTGAGTATTATAGACTCTAAATCCATCCAAGTTGCTACAAAGTCCACAATTATGTTCTTCTTTATGGCTCTGTAATATTCTATTGTGCATATGTATCACATTTAAAAAAAATCCAGTCTAGTTTCAATGGGCAGCACAGTTGGTATCATGTTTTTGCTATTGTAAATAGTCCTGCAATAAACATGTGTGTGCAGGTATCTTTTTAATAGAGTGATTTAAGTTCCTCCAGGTATATTCCCAGAAAGAGGATTGCTAGGTAATATGGAAGGTCAATTTCTAGATCTTTTAGGAATTGCCACACTGTTTTCCATAGAGGATGAACTAGCTTGTATTCCTACCAACAGCGTAGAAGCATTCCCTTTTTTCCGCATCCTTACCAGCATCTGTTGTTTTTTAGTTTATTAATGATGGCCATTCTTACTGGAGTTAGGTGGTATCTCAATGTGGTTTTGATTTGCATTTCTCTGATTAGTGAGGCTGAGCATTTTTTCATGTGTCTGTTGGCTACTCATATGTTTTCTTTTGATTCTGTCATAAGAAAACTACCTATAAAAAAAAAAGCCCTGGACCAGATGGAGTTCCAGCAGAACTCTACAAAACATACAAGGAGGAGCTGATACCAGTCCTACTGAAAGTATTCCAGGTAATCAAGAAAGATGTAACTCTCTCCAAATCATTTTATGAAGCTAACATCACACTGATAACCAAACCGGGTAAGGATCCAACAAAGAAAGAGAACTACAGGCCAATATCCCTGATGAACATAGATGCAAAAATCCTCAACAAGATTCTAACAAACCAGATATGACAACACATCTCAAAAATCATCCACCATCACCAAGTCGGCTTCATCCTCGGGATGCAGGGTTAGTTCAACATCTGTAAGACCATAAATGTAATTAAATATATCAACAGATGTAAAAACAAGAACCACATGATTATATCATTAGATGAGGATAAAGCTTTTGATAAAATCCAGCATCCCTTCTTGATAAATACCCTCAAACACATAGGTATAGAGGGAACATACCTTAAAATAGTGAGAGCCATCTATGATAATCCCACACCCAACATATTGCTAAATGGACAGAAACTTGAAGCATTTCACCTGAAAACCAGAACAAGACAAGGTTGCCCACTCTCACCCCTCCGGTTCAACATTGTATTGGAAGTCCTAGCTAGAGCAATCAGACAAGAGAAGGAAATCACGGGTATCCAAATATGAAAAGAAGTTAAGTTATCCCTCTTTGCTGACAATATGAACCTATACCTCGAGAATGCAAGAGAATCTGTCAAAAACCTCCTTGCACTGATAAAGGACTTTGACAAAGTCTCAGGGTACAAAATAAATGTGCGAAAGAGGCTGTGTCTTAAACAGATAAAGGCTCAAGATCTACAAGGTACACTGCACATGCCTTTACAGTGCCTGGCCAGTTTAAAGACAAGTGGAAAGAAACCAAGGACCAGTGTGACAGGCCTTCTTATATGCTCTAGCAACTAAGCTATCATCTCAAACTTTGCTTAGTCTTACCCAGTACTTACCTCTCCCTTTGAGAGGCATCATATTAAGAATGAGGTATGGGGGATATGGTAGAAAAAAGGAAATATTCTATATATACTTCTTTCTTTTTTCACCCCTGTTATCTTACTGTCTCGCATATATCCTTTTTCTCCAAATCCAGGTTTCAATAAAATAATAACCCCTTTCCATAACATTAGAACTTTACCTCATACTAAAATAGGGATTTAAATTTTCCCCATGTGTCTCCAATATTCATTTTACTTTCACAAAGTATAGAATCCCTAAATCTCTTAAATCAAAAAAAAAAACCATAATCTGACAACCACATCTTAAAAGGGAGGTATCTAAAAAGCCAATTTTGTTGAAAAAAAGTATATTTCAAATATGAATTATTGAAGTAACTGCAAGAATGAGCTACTTAATTATGTATAAGGAACTCCCAATCTCTTCACATTTTCTTATGAGTCATCTAACAGGTTAGGAAAAGCTTTGTCTAAAAAAT